ACCTTGCGCGCAATATAATGCGTTCAAACTCGCACTTGGTCACTCAGGTTCACAGCGTTTTGATGCAAATGTATCATGAAATAACAGATGTAGTGGTATGTTATACTAGGTAGATCGGTATACAAAAGGCTAAATGCCAGTATTCCTGAATGTATTAATGATTTACTCAACAGAAACTCTGTCAAGAAATTATATTAAAGCAATTCTCTCTTCTTGATTTAAGCTGCCCTCTTTTTAAGAGAAGCACTGAATTTGGTTACACGTGTATTGTTATAGCAATTAAGGTATGGAACCTGTGTAATGTGGACCTGAAACGCAGTTCTTGTGCAAAATAATATAAGCGATCACTTTTTTCATATACACTTTTTTCAATCCTTAAACATCAAAATCTTAAAAAATCGTTAAAGCAAGAGAGCTTATATAAATTTGAAATTATTTCTAAATAATCCAGTTTCAATAGAAGCATTTCATTCGTTTCAATATTTCTTCAAAACCAACACTCATAGTCTTTAGTTCTACCGTAATCCGCAATGCGTGTTTGACTTTGAAAGTGGAGAGTTCGCTATGTATGTAATTTTAGCTTTTCTAATTAGTGTCAAGAAATAATTTGGTTTTTTTATTCTTTACTGTGTCCTTTTATCAAAAAATAAAACCGGAATCGCTTGTTAGTCGATCAAAGCTTATGTCATGTCATCCATGGTTCCAGTAGAATTTATACACGACCCAAACATCATCTGCGCACAGTCCTCAATGCCCCAAGAAGGAGCTGGTTGATTATACTCCCACTGAGTAAAAGACAGAAGAGTGCCGTCCTCCTATTGCCAAACTTCTTTGTTAGATTGATCACGAGTCAGTATAATTCACACGACACCGTATGCCTTATGAAGGACCTCATTGATAATAAACGCATGTTCTTCTGCAGTGTTGAAACTCAACAAAGTACTGTTCAATGTTCGACAATGCCATTTAACTTGGACAAAGTTAAGCACTTTAGCGAAGTACTTGCAACTGTATGAACTAAATTCTTCCATTCTGGATCATCAGTATCACAAACTGTGAACTGAATAATATTGGAGAATAGAAAAGAATACAAAAACCATCGAGACGAGTACTATTACGATCACGAATTTTTTTAGTGTTCATGCTTCATCCAAACACAGAGAAGCTTTAAATATTACTACACTCAGATCAGAGTACTCCAAGTGAGAAAATATGTTTTTTTTCAGTCGGTGACACAGAGGCACTTAAAAAGAGAAATTCAGTGGCCGATCTAACGCACGACTTTGTTGACCAAAAATTTAACAAAGAGGTTATTGTTCTCCCCAGCTAGAGGCTGACTTTACTACGTCAAAATGCTTACCGTTTGGTTGCTCACAGTTTGCTCCAAAGTAATGTTTGGCGCATGAACAATTGTAGTATTTGGTTTCGCAAATTGCACGGCGGGTGCTCCAGTTTTGACAAGGAGAACTTTCACAAGGACTCTACAGAGAATAGAAAAACCCTAATTGATTGTTCTCAAACATTTGTATCGACAATACTGATCATGAGTCATCATTGAAGCGAACGAAGCTCGCTAAGAAGATTTTTCTTTCAAAACCTTAACGGCTTACAGAGAAAGAGTTTTGAAATATGAAATAACACCCAGAACACTAATAATAAGATAAATGGGCAATAAAAGGATGATTAAAAAGCAACTCACCGAAATAATGTAATGATGAAAGCTTGCATTTGTAAAAAAATGTTTTGACGAGCCACACTTACTGACGGAAAGAAGCTCCCACGAGACCTGCTTAGTTTACTGAAATGAACGCCAACGTTTGTAGAGAAACATTGTGTACTTTTCAAACACTTCCGTGAGCAATGTTTTTCGTTCCCTACGTACACTAACTACATCGACTCTTGTAACATCAAAGGCGTGAAATAAAATCGGCCTCAAAGATCAGATAGCGAGCGTTGAAGAGTTCTCTCCTTCGTGAACACAATTGCGTTTTTAATAAAGAATATCAGTAACGAGCAGAACTTACCCTTTTAAACCATCTCACAGTGTAGGAAACGTAATAAACTCAATCCAAACGGTAAAACAAGCAACATCGCTACTACAACAACGTATTTATGATAAATCATTTAAGTGATCCGTGTGAGTAAGCGGAACTGAAGAATACTCAATGTTTGATAATGATGGTCCATTTTTCGTTCTCAATCGGCGTTCTAATAAGCGTTCACCTCCAGGCCACAATGTCAAACAAGCGCCCCTCTCTAACAAGCACCCCCCGGCGCATCCCTCCCTTTCCAGAATAGTAGGGATGCAAGAAAAATCTGTTTGTGTTGCCACTTTATTCATAACTTTAAAGCTTCGATCAGAAATAAGACACAAACAGCGGTGATAAACATATTGAACTTGCACATTTTGATTATAAGTTGACGTTTGAACTTGCACATTTTGATTATAACTTGACGTTTCGTATGTACTCAACATACATTTTCAAAAGTAACCGTAGAAATTTAAAACAGCTTGGTATATGTACCACTATGGTGAGGGGACTGGAACCAAGATTAAGTAAAAAACTTTACAATAAAAAATAACACTAGAGCAGATTAATAATGGCCCGAGGACAAAAGCATTTAAAGCTTCGACATCGGGGGAACCAGTAAAAAAGAGCAGTTCCTTTCAGCTGTTAAAGTCACTTCCAGTTATTTCTTTCTCCGGATCTTGCAAAGGTCCATCCTTTATCATGATATGCCTTATCTTTTCTTTCAAGTTTTGTCCTCCTGCTACAGCAACTTGATAAGCGCCCTCCCCTTCATTCAATTAAGCGCTCTCCTTTTAATAACTCCGTTCTTCCTTTTAGCAAAAATTTTGAATAAGCGCCCAAGCGCTCATTGGCGGAAGTAAGGTCTGTATATGTGTAACAATGGAGGTTTTTTTGGATATTAAATTTTTTTTATAAATTTGGCTGACTAGCTGATGTTAGTATTTCTCTCACAAATGAAACCGGGGTCGCGTGTTAGTAGTTCACAATTTATGTCTTGCCATTCATGATACCATTAGATTTTATATTGCAACCCAAACATAATCTGAACACAATCTTCATCATGCCTGAGGTTATTTGGCTCATTACTCTCACACTGAGTAAAAGACAGATGGGTTCCGTCCTCCCATCTCCAAAGCTCTTTGTTAGATGGATCTCGAGTCAGTTCAATCCCCACTCTGCCGTATGCTTCAGGAAGGATCTAGTAGAAGACTAATGCGTGTTCTTCTGCACTGCCAAAAGTCACCAAAGTACTGTTCAGTGTTTGACAGTGCGATTTAGCCTGGAAGAAGTGAAGCATTTGAGGGAAGTACTTGTAACGAGATGTATTGAATCCTTTCCATTTTGGATCAGCACCACAAACTGTGAAATAAATGGCAAAAATGAAAACAAAACAAAAGAAAACAGTTTTCATTATGATTACCATCAAGACCATAGCCGTGGGTATTCATTATCCACCTCCAAACAAAGAGAAACATCTAACATGTACATAGTGATACATAGAACAGCGAATTAAGAAAACAAAATTATAAGTGATAAAAGATGTTTTCAGTTCAGTCAGTGACACAGCACCGGCCTGTTTAGAAAAGGGAAGCTTAAGGATGATAAATGAAAACAAAAAACAAAAAAACAAACAAAGGAAACAGTTATCAGTATGACCACCATTAAAACCACAGATTGTGAGTAATCATGATCCACTTCCAAACAAAGAGATACATTTTATACTCAGAATAGAGAAGTTGTAAAAAGGTTGAAAAGAATTTCAAGTGAGAGATGATGTTTTAAGTTCACTCAGTGACACAGCACAGGCGTATTAAGAAAAGGGAAGCTCAGTGGTCTACATAACACTAGAATTTTTTGACCGAATATTAAAAAAAAGGAAGTTATTATTATTCCGAGCTAGTAGGTGACTTGATCAGGTAAAGAGACTTACACAGTTGCTCACAGTTCACTCCAAAGTAGTGTTTGGTGCATAAACAACTGTAGTCTTTGGTTTCGTAAATTGCACCATAGGTACCCCCGTTATGACACGGAAAACTTTCACAAGGACTCTACCGAGAAAAGAAAGACCATCATTGATTGTTCTCAAACATTTGTTTCAGCGATACTGATCATTAGTCATCATTGAAGTAAACTAAACTCGCCATGAATATTTCTATCAAGCCTTCACAGCTATCAAAGAGAGAATGTTGAAATTTTAAATAACACCCAGAACACTAACATCAGATAAATATGAGATAAAAGGATGCTTAAAAAATAACTCACCGAAATTCTGTAATGATGAAAACTTGAATTCGCAAAAATATGTTTTGAAGAGCCATACCTATCTGAAGAAAGAAGCTCACACGAGACCTGCTTATTTCTACTGAAATGCACGCCTACGTTTGTAGAGAAACATCGAATACTTTTCAAACACTTCAGCAAGCAATGCTTATCATTACCTACGTACACTACATCGACTCTTGTAACATCAAGGGCGTGAAATGAATCGGCCTCAAAGATCGCATACTGTTGTCTTTCAGATGGGCCGCGTTGAAGAGTTCTCTCTTTGGCGAACACAACTGCATTTTCAATTAGGAATATCAGTAACGAGCAGAATTTATAATTCTGAATCATCGCACAGTGTAGGAAACGTGATAAACGCCATTTAAGCGGTAAAACAAGTAGTATTCGCTATAACAGCAGCTTGTTTATGATAACTTATTTAAAGTGATCTGAGTGAGTCAGCGGAATTGAAGAATACCTAATGTTTGATGGTCATGGTCCATTTTCCACCCTCAATCACGCTCTAATAAGCGTTCGCCTCCAAAGCCACAATGTCAAACAAACCTCCTCTCAAATAAGCGCCTCCCCCCCCCCCCCTCCAAAACAGTAGATATGCAAGAAAAACCTGTTTATGTTGCCACTTTATTTATAACTTTAAAGCTTCGACTTCAGGGAAACCAGCAAGAAACAACAGTTCCTTTTCTGTTTAAGTCACTTCCAGTCATTTCTATCTCCATGCGCTTGCAAAGGCCCGTCCTTCATATGCCTTATCTTTTCTTTCAAGTTTTGTCCTATTGCTGCGCCGACTTGATAAGCGCCCCCCCTTTCTTTGATTAAGCGCCCTCCTTCATTAATCGTTCTCCTTTTTAGCTAAAATTTTGAATCACCGCTCCAGCAGTCATTCGTGGTAATAAAGTGTGTATAAAAAAGAGTTTATTCTAATTAGTGTAATGTTTTTGGACATTTTCTTTTTCAATTTTGCTTACTCGTTGATGTTAGCCCTTCTTTCACAAATGAAACCGGGGTCGCGTGTCAGTCGTTCACAATTTGTGCCATGCCATTCATGATACCAGTAGATCTTATAATGCAACCCAAACATCATCTGAGCGCAATCATCATTGATGTAATCTGGCTGAGTACTCTCCCACTGAGTAAAAGACAGATGGGTGCCGTCTTCCCATCTCCAAAGCCCTTTGTTAGATGGATCACGAGTCAGTCCAATCCAAACACCGCCGTATGCTTCAGAAAGGACCTCGTGGGTGACAAATGCGTGTTCCTCTGCACTGTTAAAAGTCACTATAGTACTGTTCAATGTTTGGCAATACGACTTAGCTTGGAAGAAGTTAAGCACTTGAGCGAAGTATTTGTAACAAGATGTATTAAAAGCTCTCCATTTTGGATCACTACCACAAACTGTGAAATAAATAATAAAAATGAAAACAAAGCAAAACAGTTATCAAGATAATTACCATTAAGAATATAGACTGAGTGTATTCATGACCCACCTCCAAACAAAGAGAAACATTTTACGCAATGATACTCATGATCAGAATATAGAATTAAAACACAAGAAAAAAATTCCAAGTGAGAGATGCGTCAATCATTCAGTGACAGCACAAGCGTATTTTGAAAGAGGAAGCTCAGTGGCTAATATAACGCTCGACTTTGTTGACCAACAATTGGATAAAAGAGGTTATTAATTTTTTTCCGAGCTAGCAAGTGACTTGATCACGTAAAGAGACTTACACAGTTTCTCACAGTTCACTCCAAGGTAATGTTTGGTGCATGAACAACTGTAGTCTTTGGTTTCGTAAATTGCGCGACAGGTGCCCCCGTTTTGACACGGAAAACTTTCACAAGGACTCTACAGAGAAAAGAGAGACCATCATTGATTGTTCTCAAACATTTGTATCAACGATAGAGATCATTAGTCACCATTGAAGTGAACTAATTAAGCTCGCCATGAATATTTCTGACAAACCTTTACAGCTCTCAAAGATAGAATATTGAAACATAAAATAACACCTAAAACACTAACATAAGATAAATGCGAAATAAAAGGATGATTAAAAAGCAACTCACCGAAATTCTGTAAAGATGAAAACTTGCATTCGCAGATAAATGTTTTGACGAGCCATACTTATCTGAAGAAAGAATCTCACACGAGACCTGCTTATTTTTACTGAAATGCACGCCTACGTTTGTAGAGAAACATTGAGTACTTTTCAAACACTTCAGCAAGCAATGTTTTTCATTGCTTACATACACTACATCGACTCTTGTAACATCAAGGGCGTGAAATAATCGGCTTTCAAGATCGCGTACTGTTGTCTTTCAGACGGGCCGCGTTGAAGAGTTCTCTCTTTGCTGAACACAACTGCATTTTCAATGTAGAATATCAGAAACCAGCAGAATTTATACTTCTGAATCATCTCACAGTGTAGGAAATGCAGGAAATGTAATAAACGCCATCCAAACAGAAAAACATGCAATAATCGCTACAACAATAACTTGTTTATGATAAATTATTTAAGTGATCCAAGTGTGTCAGTCATGAACAATTGTAGTCTTTGGTTTCGTAAAATGCACAGCAGGTACCCCTGTTTTGACACGGGGGACTTTGACACATACTCTTAAGGGAATAGTTATACCATTCATTGTTCTCGAACATTTGTATCATCGATGCTTAGCATATCAGCTAAGCTCGCCACGAAATTTTTTTTCAAAACCTTTACAGCTTCCAAAGGAGGAACTTTGAAATTTAAAGTAACATCAAGAATAACTAAAAAAAAAAAATAGCATACCGATGAAATGGATGGATTATTGAAAGGCAACTCACCAAAGATCCTGGACATCAGTGTCATCCAACTGCATGAAATTGATTGAAACAATATCACGATCCCATCATGCCTCCCTTCATATGGCACCCAGTCACCACGCCACCAGGAAGACTCGCCATCAGCGAGCTCGCCACCGATCTCGCTACCGAGGCGAGACCATCACCTTGCCAACAAACACTCATCCCGTAGGGATTGCTGTTAATGTATTAAGTATGGCTATCAAATGTTTTATTAAATGAATATACGTTTGCTTGAGCTCTAACTTGTTGCTCATTGTTGTTATGGGGTAAAAATTTAACAGGATCTCCCTGTGATCTCTCAAAACATTCGTTTTGTCGACCAAAAAATGCATGCGATCGATAACACTTCTTGTCCATCTTGTCGTTAGTTTTACTAAAAAAGTTACAGTCATTTTGCTTTGTTTTTCCTTTGTTGAATACTCTAGATGTTTACAGGTTAGACTTCGTCGTTCGATAGTCCCTTTGATATCTTCTTTGATGAGATCGGAGATTCAGGATCAAATTCGAAAGTGGCTTAAAACTAGTGATCTTGGTGGCGAGTTTGCTGGTGGCGACTTGGTGATGGCGAGCCGATTGCCTTGGTGGTGAGTTTTCCTGGTGGAAAGATGACTGTAGACCCTTCATATCCCCAAAGAGGAAATTATATTTATATATGTTATACAGTACGAAAGTTACCTTTATATCAGCTGGATATATGACAAGAAGTTCAAACAGAAATACTTCATCACTTTTTAACCTAAGACACTGCATACAGTGAAAGTGAGATGTACAGTACAAATAATTATTCTTGGTGGTAGCGTTATTGTGATTGTTATCGTTCTTCTTCAAGTCTCTTTTTTAAACGTTTTTAACGATCAATTTCCTTTATTTTAACTTGAAGGAGACAAAATGAGTCATTTCTGACCAATTTTTGGTGCACGAAATAGACTTTGTTTTTTTGGTTTCAGTGTAGCATACTCTAAAACAATTATTCACCTCGGAGTTGAGGAAAGTGATGAATATTTACCTCGCCTCTTTACGGCACGTTTAATACGTAGTCACAACCTTTGCCTGTTTAAAAAGTCTTTGGTTGAAGAGTGGGCGCTATGATTAAATTTTCATATTTTTTTTGTTCAATTAGCATAAAGGAAAGCTTGAAAGAAAATGAGGACAATCAAGATTGAATTTGCTGCCTTGTAACTCATTCAGCAATGAAGTTGTCTACATAAAAAACCATTTCTACAGTGATCAAAGAGAATCAATATTACCTCATGAAATTGCGCCTTACTATTGACCTCTGCTATTTTTCTCTATTCCAGAGCTACCGTTTGCAACACGAGTGCACCAAGAAGGGTTCACGTTGATTTTGCAGCATACAATAACATTAGTGTTTTGCTGAATACAGCCACTGTGTGAAAAGAAACCTGCCCTAACTTTCCAGCTAAGACCTCCTGCTGAATAGAATATTAGGTACGGTAACCATTTTTTTTGTTTTTTGCTGCTCTAAAGATAACCTCTAAACTGCTCTTTATATTGCGTTTTTTGGAGAATGTCCACAAAGGTTACAACAGGTATTTGCTGGAAGGCCTTTCCGCCACCCTTCTGGAGGTTGATTCAAGCAAGAGATAAATGACACATGGTTGTTATTCGACTCTGACGAAAGTTTTCCCAATTTTTCACGTATAAAAGTGGGAAATTAACTCTTTTCTCGAAAGAAGGCTTTGCAAATTTATCAGCATTACAAAAATGATTTTGCTTTACTAAAGACATTAACACTCTCTACACTGAGGTCTCAAGTCTCTCTGAAAAGTTTTTATTCTCGATGATGGATAAATATTATTGTCGAAAACATTCGATACGTCAGGATGGAACTTGATTCTAAAGAAACTACTAATTAACAGTTCATCTAAAAATTATTAGTGCTCATATGGCATTTTAGGTTATCTCCGTTTTCCTGTTTTAAACTGTTGACAAATTTTACCGATTTGTTTCAAAATAACATAAATATTTTGCTAAAACGCATGTTTGGCCTAAATCTATGTAATTTTTTTTAAGCTCAACCTTTGAGTTTCTAATGGAAATACTATTTCGGAGGGTGAAAGTCCTTTTTGAACACAAAAAAACAGGTTTCCTAGTCGCTAAACAAGAATATTTCAATTTACTTCGCGCAACAGAATATTCTTTTGATTTTCTACCTCGATAAAAAGTTAATTTACAGTAGCTTTGATTTTCTGTCTTTAAAGTTCTGCAACAGTCTGGAATTTTCAACGTAAAAATCACTTTTTAGATCTAGAGTTCGTCATGGTTGAACCAATGTGAACATACCTTGAAAATTTGCGCCATGTTCTCTAAGTTCCATCGTAATGGATTCATTTAACTACAAGGAAACAATTAATGTAAACACTCACGTTTAATTGGATTTTCAGTCACATCAATTGCAACGTTTCCCATTCCGTTTCCAGTCTTCTTTTCTAAATACAGTTTTCATTCCCTTCTCTTTGTTCTGAAAATCCGAAAAACAACACATCCAGTACTGACATGACAAACAACAAACAAAAAATAACTCATCCAGCCTTTTCTTCGTAAATATGCTTTCTGGTATTGTTGCAAGCTTGAAGTACGGTTCTAGAAATTCTTTGAACCACATGTTGCACTGATTCAAAGTGCGACATGTCTGAATGAATAATTAATTTTGCCAATTCATTTCATATCGGCCTTCGCTCCCTGAATAATTATTCTCAACAAGTTCTGACTTTTAAATATTTTCGCTTAAGATCTTTAGAAGGGTTTCATTTGAAAGTGAAGGGAAGAAAGGTCATTC